TCAGCCCTGCGCGTGGTCTTTAGGCCAGCAGAGCTATCCTTCTTGCACAAGGAATCTTGCCTGCATTCCTTCCAGCCTCTGCAGGCCCCGGCTTGTGGAGAAATGGAGCATGCTGCTCCACCACCTGCCGGCTGCTTCTGGCCCCTCTGTGGGGAGAGAGTGTGTGTGTGCCTGTGTGATGCAGTGTGTTTAAGAGCATCTGAATGAGTCACATTCCTAGGAGCCTGGCCGGCAGCAAAGTAATTAGTATGTGAGCCGAGTCTTGCGCACTCGTCACATTTATTCATTACTCCTTGTGAGGAGCTGCATGCCTACATCCCACGGGTTTGTTGCCATATATTCATCTCGTCCCAGTCAGCCTTGCCTTGGGGCCGACTCCAAACCTCTAATCTGGTATTGTGCAGTTTGCGGTTCCCGGAGAGCTGCTCCATTCTTGGCAGGGGGAGGCCCCAGGTGGCTGATGCAGCGGGATGGGGGCTTATCTGATGGTGGATGTTGTGGAGTGGGCGCCGCCTGCTGGGTCTCGGGCAGGGGTGACGGAGGGCAGAGGTGGTGCCCTGGCTCCCCTGCTGCAGTCGCCCGAGCTTCTCAAACCCCTGTGCGCCTTGCATCTGCAAACACCTGGAGCTTTGCTGTGGGGCTTGTAGGAACACAGGTGGCGAAGCCCATGCCTGAGAGTCTGTGTTTCCAACACGGTCCCGGGCGATGCTGCTGCTGTTGCCGGTCCGAGGATCAAACTTTGACTTAAGCCTCTCAGACCCTCAGTCCCCTCCTCTAAAAACTGCCAATGAGAGCATCTCCCTGCCGGGTGATGTGACCATATTTACCAATTCATTCATTCAGCAATAGGGCCAGGAGCCCTGCCCATGTGCCAGGCACCAGGGAATGGGTGGGCGCCCAACAAGACAGAGAGCCTGGGCTGGGGCAATGGGCAGACCAAGAGAGTAATAAAATAAAGTCATTGAAAACTGTGGCAGGTACTAGGAAGACAGAGATTAAAAATATTAACATAGAGCATAAAGGGGCAGAGAGAATCTAATTTAAATAGACTGGTGAATCTAGTCTAAATAGCAAAGGGCTCACCAGATGACGTTTCCAGAGCCCTGGTCTGTAGTGAGAGCCCAGGAACAATAGTACAATTGTTTGTCTGCTGGCTTCATCACTTTCTAGCTGTGTGACCTTGGACAAGCCAACTGACCTCTCTGTTTTATCTCCTATAAAATGGAGATAGTAACAGCACTTGCCTCATAGTGTCATTGCCCAGATTACAAGGCGTGAATATACGTGAAGTGCATGGAGGAGGGCCCGGAGCGTAGTAAGCACTGTTAAGAGTTGACAGTCATTGTCGTGTCACTATGGCAGTGATAGAAAACTCTGCAGGCAATTCTGAGCCCCCCAGAAATCCCAGAAGAGCTGGACTCAGCTTCATTCGTGAGGCAGCGTGTAGCCCTCCTCTCCATCATCCTGGATATTGTGCTACCTCGTGGGCATCCTTAGGGATGATAATGACCCCCTTGGGACAACTGGACCCTACCAAAGTCCCTGGCTGTCTAGATACTGGGTAGGGAGGACTTCCTGGAAGAAGGGAGTCACATCATGCCAGAGGTATAATAGAACTTCTTTGTTGGCAAGTAACATAAACCCAGCTCAAACTGGCTTAATCCAGAAAAGGGAAGTTAATTGACTGCTGGAACTGCAAAGGCCAGGGTATCTGGCTTCAGGCATAACTGAATCCAGTCATACAGTGCATTAGGACTCTGGTCCACCACTTGGCTGTTTACTCTGGGTCAGCTCTGCTCTCAGACCGATTCTTTCCCTGTGTTGGTAAATACGTCGTCTCCAACTCCAGGTATCCTTTTAGCTTATCAACCCCGATAGCAAGAGAAGAATTCGTTCCGGTTCATTCTAGCAGATATCCTAAGACTGATTCTCCTGGGTCTGGTTGAGACGGTCCCAATAACACCATGTGCTGGTCCATGAACCAATCAGTGCAGCCAAAGGGTGGGATGACTGCTCCAGTTGGCCAGGCCTTGGTCAGGTGCTCTCAGTTAGGCCCTGAGGGGGCGGTCTCCAAAGGAGAATCAGGAGCTCTTTTCAGAAATGGGAGAAACAAGTGCAGGACAACAAAAACAACAGCTGTCCTGGAAGGACAGGGTTCCACCCTCAAGAAAGCAAGCAGAAAGCAAGAGTGTATCCATTTCCCGTAACAGAAAGGAGTGGGGTCTAGAGGCCGGGACCACAGCCAGAAGAGCAGTGCACGATTCTAGAAGCTTGGTCGCCATCTTGGTATCTTCATCATCCACATTGGTTTCCTGTCGTGGTTGGAAGGCCAATTGGGGAGGGGGAGGAGCTGGTGGAACCAAATCCCCATTTGTAGCCAGACCTGGAGAGAGGAGATTCTCCACAAGAGAGTGAGTGGAGGCAGCTAAGGAGGGCCAGGTTCTTGCAAGGAAAGGACCCGGGGTGCAGGCCTGAGGCTGCGAGACCAGGCTGGTTTCCTGGCTTCTTTCTCATCAACTCTGCCCTCAAGTGTATAAAGCAGGCTCTCTCAGCTTCAGCACTGTTGACATGGGGGGCTGCGTAATTCTTTGTGTTGAGGGCCATCTTGTAGGGTGTTTAGCAGCTTCCCTCGACTCTACCTACTGGTTGCCATTTACATCCCCCTCACCAGTTGTGACAACCAGAAATGTCCCTAGACATGGCCAAATGTTCCCCGGTGTCAAAATTGCCACGGGTTGAGAACCACCGGCCTAGGGGGTACGTGAGGAGAGTTGGGGAGAGTTGGTCGGCGGTCAAGACTCCAGCCGCACGTTCCTACCCATCGTCCCCCCAGCCGCCCTGGGGGTGCGACTGGCTGCTGCGCGACCCAGAGAGGCTGCGCGGGGGTGTGTTCTGTTTTCACTGGCTGAGAAGTCTCTTAATAGTGTTTGCCTTGGATGAGATGTGTGGGGGAATCCACTGCAGTGTGTTGAGGGGTGCTGGTGGCATTTTGTTCCAACATATCTGGTTCTTGGGTTTTGATTCCCAGTGTGCTCTTGTGAAAAGCAGCTCTGGCGAGGACAGTGTTCTTCCAAAGGTGGGAGGCTGGGATAAGCAGTGGGTATCCGACGTGAATTCCATCAACAAGTATTTCAGTGAGTTTTCTTTTAAGTAAGTCGATTTCAAGGACTCAGATGACTTCCAGGAGGTGTGTAGACAAGGCATAAATAGCTGAGGTGGCACTCCCGTGACTGACGTGCCAGGGAATAGTGGCTGGGCCGTGGCCCCCATTGCCAGCATCTGAGTTGTTTGTTTAAGGGGCATCTCTTGCCAGATGCCTTCTGTTCCCAGCCTGCCTTCTCTCTTCCACAGGCAAAGGAGACGGTCCCAATAACACCAGGCTCCTTCTCATTCGGCGACATCAATAATTTATCCCAGTCGATGGCCTATCGGCCAAGGCAGAGTCGGGGCTGCTCACAGTATCCCACAAAGGAGCAGAGAGAGAGAGGTGGTCGATACCGCATTTACTTAAGAAAGCCCCAGGGATGTGCTGAGCTGCCTGCGAGGTGGCTGGTTACAGCCTCACTGTGGGTGGAGCTAAGGCAGTGCTTCTGGCTTGTGATGCTTGGAAACAACGGGAGCAGAGGAGCCTCGCAGGCTGAGGCTCCCTGAAGGCCAGGCTCCCTTCAACAGCAAGGAGCTGGTGGCCGTGGGTAGAGGAGCGAGTCCTGGGGAGAAGTCTTTTTCACTTTTCAGGAAGCGTCTGCTTTGTGGTAGTGCTGGACCAGGGGGTGCTCATCCCCGTGATTTTCCCCCAGGGGACATCAGCAGTGTCTAAACATTTGGGGCTGTCACAGTTGGGGGAGGGGGTGTGTTTTGGTCCTCTGGTGGGTCGAGGCCAGGGATGCTGGTGAACATCCTGTAATGCACAGGACAGGCCCAAAACGTCAGTAATTCTGAGGCTGAGAAGCCCTGGTTTATGCTGATGAACAAGGTGGACATTGTCCCTGTCCTCCTGCAGCTAGTGATGGAGAGAGACAGGAAGGGACAGAGAAACAAAGTAAACAGGCAAAAAGATGAGATAGGATTAGCGGGAGGAAACAGACGAGAGGCCTGGTAGAGAGGACGCGGGTGTGACCTTGGCCAAGGTCTGAGTGGATGACATTAGATCTGAGACCACTGGGGGTGGGGAGGAGTGGTTTTCCATAAAAGCAGGGGGTGAGGGGAGGGGGGGCTCTGGTTAGCAGAAGGAGCAGGAGGGGCAAGAGGAAACTCACTCGGGTTAATAAGCCGGTCTCCTGGCTGCTGTGGACCCCGCCTTGCACAGGGGCGGGGAGAGACGAGGAGCGTCCTGCAGGCGCCCCCCGGAGAGGCGGGCTGGAGTGGCGTGAGACGAGGGATTCTTGGGAGATCTTTGGAGGAGGAGGGTGGGATGTGTGAGGGGATGGGGAAAGGGTGGGTCCCAGGGAGACGGTTCATACTACATTTAAAATGCTGGGAGGCTTCCGAGAGCTCCTAGGAGCTGAGTGCTGTGACCTTGGGCAAGTGTCCCAACCTCCTCAAGACTGTTTTGTCACCAGTGTGAGGACTGGAAATGTCAAGTGCGAGGCCCAGAGTGAGTCATCGGTGCATGTCAGCTGTTACCGCTGAGGGACTGAAACGGGTTAACACATGCCCAGCTCAGCGCTTGGCCCCTGACTATCGCTTTAAAGTTTCATTTTATTCTCTTATTTTTGAAGAGGTCTGACATGGCCTCAAATTCAAAGAATATGAAAAGATATTCAGAGAAAGTGAGTGTCCCTCCCACCCGCTCCTCCAGCCACTAGCGGTGGTGATTCGTGGTTGTTCACTGTGCAGATGGGACCCGAAACCCCACTCCCCACCCCCCACCCCGAGACGGGCTGTGCTGCCTGGAGAAAGGGGCACCTTGTCCTCTGTGTCCAAAGGCACAACAGGGGCAAGCAGGTTTTAAGTGAGGTGGGTCTTCTTAAAGTCAGGAGAGTGAGCATCTTACAATGCATTGGTCTTTCCTCCTCAACTTGTCTGGAATGTTCATGGTGTCAGAGAGAAAGATGAGAACCCACCAAGTGCTCGCCTTCCTCCTGCTCTTCGTGATCGCCTCCGGGGCCTCTGAGAACGCCAGCACATCCCGGGGCTGCGGGCTAGACCTCCTTCCTCAGTACGTGTCCCTGTGCGACCTGGACACCATCTGGGGCATCGTGGTGGAGGCGGTGGCCGGGGCAGGCGCCCTGATAACGCTGCTCCTGATGCTCATCCTCCTGGTGCGGCTGCCATTCATCAAGGACAAGGAGAAGAAGGACCCCGTGGGCCTCCACTTCCTCTTCCTCCTGGGGACCCTGGGCCTCTTCGGGCTGACATTCGCCTTCATCATCCGGGAGGACGAGACTATCTGCTCGGTCCGCCGGTTCCTCTGGGGCGTCCTGTTCGCGCTCTGCTTCTCCTGCCTGCTGAGCCAGGCGTGGCGTGTGCGGAGGCTGGTGCGCCACGGCAAGAGCCCGTCGGGCTGGCAGCTGGTGGGCGTGGCCCTGTGCCTGATGCTGGTGCAGGTCATCATCGCCATCGAGTGGCTGGTGCTGACCGTGCTGCGCGACTCGAAGCCTGCCTGCGCCTACGAGCCCATGGACTTCGTCATGGCCCTCATCTACGACATGGTACTGCTCGTGGCCACCCTGGGGCTGGCCCTCTTCACGCTGTGTGGCAAGTTTAAGAAGTGGAAGCAGAACGGGGCCTGCATCCTGGTCACCGCCTTCCTCTCCGTGCTCATCTGGGTGGCCTGGATGACCATGTACCTCTTCGGCAACGCCGAGCTGCGGCAGGGAGACGCCTGGGGCGACCCCACCTTGGCCATCACGCTGGTGGCCAGCGGCTGGGTCTTCGTCATCTTCCACGCCATCCCCGAGATCCACTGCACCATTCTGCCGGCCCCGCAGGAAAACACGCCCAACTACTTCGACACGTCGCAGCCGAGGATGCGGGAGACGGCGTTTGAGGAGGACGTGCAGCTGCCGCGGACCTACATGGAGAACAAGGCCTTCTCGATGGACGAACACAACGCAGGTAGAGTGGGCGCCGCCCGCTGGCTTAGGCTCTGGGGCCCTTCCTCCCAAAAGGACACTCTCTTTCTCTCCAGTGGGAGTGGCTAGTCTTGGGGACAGTCCAGGCAGATCAGAGCCCAAACAGTGGCCGCTGTGCTGAAACTGGCCCAGAGGTGCATTCTCATTAGCATTTTCCCTATCAATTGCCAACTAATTTAATATAAAAATCCAGGTCTCTGGCCTTTTTTGAAAAGTTGGGTCTGGCAACACCAGGCTGCCATTCCCACCTCACAGAAATTGTCTGCAGCTGTCTAGAAGGCTCTGTCCCTTACCCTCACCGGGTTGTGGCAGTGGGGGGCTGCTTTCTCTTTGCCACACTCCCCACCACTCCCTATGGCCCTCTGCCCCAGCTGCTATAACATATCGTTAATTCCCTGGCTCCCTGGAAGTGTTTGAGTTTGCAGCTGGTATGCGAGACGGATGCAGGGGGTGGTGACAGGCAAAGCTCACGTCCTGTCCCATACCTCTGTCACCAGGAGTGTATGAATTTGAGCCAGACGTCTGGGTTCAGATCCTGCCTCTGCCATTTCTGGATGTAAGGCTTTGTACCTCGTAGAGCTGCTGTGAGCAGTAACTTCCTGATGGGCTCCCATTGCACCTGGCACGTTGGGTGTGTGTCTTTGGTGGGTTCCCCTGAAAGCAGAGCCTGAGGCTCGGTGCAGGTGATCTGCCTGGGAGGTGGTCCCTGCCAGAGAGAGGGCAGAGGGAATGAGACTGGGAGGGCAGAAACAGAAACAAGAGCTTGGAAGTGCCAGGTACCACCACGGGCAGCTGGGGCTCAGTCCTGCCAGGGTTACATGTAGAACGAGCCTCAGCCTTGATCCTCGAAGGACAGGAGGCTGTGGCATCTCTCCACCAATTCCTGGCTCCCACTGTCATGAACATCCCCCCATGCTCCCGAAAACAGGCCGAACAAGTTCCGTTAGCTTCCACGGCTGAGAAGCGGAGATTTGGCGTGCGCTTCAGGTGGAGGATGTCCAGGTACCCAGGGCTGTCCACCACCGCCGCAGCGGATTCCCAGAGGAAGCCACACAGGCGCCCAGAGCCCCTGCCACGGATGCCTTGAGAAGCATCTCTTACAATTGTTGCTTAAAGCAAGTCGGCTGGGCTCTCGGCACTTGAGATTAATTCATTAAAATTGCCTTTTCTCTGTTACCTAAAGATTTAGCAGGAGCTACAATAATAGTAACAATAACAAACAGTAAGTAGTAGCAGTGGCAGCGGCAGTAACAACTGCCTAGTCCAGTCATCATTTATTGAGCTCTAGCTACACGCCAGGCACCATTCTAAGTCCTTAACCTGCATTGCCCCTTAGTCCGCACCTCCACCTGATGAGGCGGGAACAATCCCGGCTTACAGATGAGTAAATGGAGGCTGTAGTAGGTTCAGTCCTGCCAATGACATACAGCTAAGAGGTGGCCCTTTCCAGATGGTCATGGTCCCCTTTCCTGTGACGTGCATCCAGGCACCTGGGCGGTGCTCACTGGCTGCTTTTATTACGAAGTCAGCCTTGTTGGGTTGAGGGCCGGGCCCGGAGCACAGCCCACCCATTCCGTGCAGGCAAGGGAAACACAGCAAGCCATCAGGTCCTCCACGGCCACCCCCAGCCCTCCTCCCCACCAGGACGTGCCCAGCGTCCTCTGCACCCCTGCTCCCAGCCAGAACCACAGGAGGAATGACAGAGCCCCCACCCACCCATCCCAGCTGTGGACAGAGTCGGAAATCCTGGCGTGGCCTTTATCAGAGCAGCTTCCTTCTTACTGGAAAGCCCCAGGCCAGCAAGCCTGTGTTTGTCAAGAGATTTGGCAGGGGTGAGCGGCAGCTCTGGTGGGGCTGGCTCCCCGGGTTGCCAGGAGAAGATGGAGGTCGGACGGAGGTCGGATGGAGTTCATCACTGGGAGCCCAGACAGCCCTTCAGGGCGTGTGATGTGCAGAGGCCGGCTCCTGGCCAACTCCTGTGGAGCTGGAAGGGGCCACCTCTTCTTTGGCTCTTCTGGGAGCAGGGGCCTCTTTACCTAAGACCCATGGACTCCCCGTTGGACCTCAAAGGTATCAGGAACTCCTGAAATGGATGTAAATTTTTGTACATTCATTGGGGAGTTAGTCTATTGCTTTGTTAGATTCTCAAAGCCATTTGTGATCCCCAGGAGGTAAAGAACCGGAGCTGTTGAACCTGATGGGCTAGTTTACTTGCAATGAAGGGGGGATGCAGGAACTACCTACGTATTAGGGGCTTCAAAAGAAGGATGAATAACCTTTACTAGGTGCCATGGACCAGGTACCATTCTGAGCATTTCAGTGGCTGATCTCATTTAATCCCAGTGAGGTCCATTTTGCAGACAGGAAACTGAGGCACGGAGAGGCTAAGCAACTTGCCCAAGAGGCAGAGGCAGGGTGTGAAGCCAGGCAGGCTGGCGCCAGAGCCCACACGCTGACCCTTCTGCCACAGAATTAGTCTTCTCTTCTTAAAGTGTCCCTCATCTCATGCACGTGTCAGGACAACTCTGTGCATTGAGAAGACACGGGTTACCGGTCCCATTTTACAGAGCAGGAAACTGAGTCCAGGAGTGTCAGGCAACTTGTTCAGGCTCACACTGTAAACGCACAGCAGGCCAGGGAGAGGGAGTTTGCTTTTCTGAATCCGGTTACATGCACCGTTCCTTGTGAAAATGCAGCCAGAGCTTCAAATCCATGTAGGATCCAGAGATCAAAGGAATTTGGGACCCACACCAGGACCAGCAGTTCCAGGGCTGGCCCGGGAGTGATGGGAGGGCTCAGAAGTGCCCCACACGCCATCTGTTTCAACTCTATGTTCCAAAGCCAAGGAAGTTGTTACTCATCCCCTCTTTCTTTTCCAAAGGAAAAATAGCTTTATTATTCCTTTCTGATGACAGAAGATGGACAATAATCATGAAGAAATTCAGCAAATGAAATTCATAAAAATTGCTCAAATTCCCATTTGCCCAAAGGCAGCTACTGCCAACTGTTTGTTCCCATCTTGCCAGACATCTCTCGAGCACACAGTCTCTCTCTCACTCTCTCTCTCTCTCACTCACACACACACACACACAACAGTCATAGAGCAGTTCTTAACCTGTCTGCACGTTAGAATCTTTTGGACAGCTTTAAAAAAAATTGCCAGTGCCTGCCTCCTCATTCTGATTGAGTAAGTCTGTTCGGGCTTAGGTATTTTAAGTGCCCGAGTGCTTCTAAGATGTAACCAGGTTGAAACCATTGGTCAAAGTGGTGTGCTGCAATGTGCTTGCTTAAATCAATAGTGTGTTGAGGGGGCGGCTGTGCCAGGTCAGCCACTGAAGAGCTACGGTATCCTTTCCACAGGGCAGAGATTTCCATGGGCACCATCATTTATTTTTCTGATCTTAGCTGATGCCTCTTGTTTCTGGCTTTCCATAGAAGTGATGCTGCAATGAATGTTTTCCATTCATCTTTGTGCCCAAGATCAATTAACTCCTTGCAAAAAAAAAAAAAATTTCTAGACACGCAGCCAAGTGTCTGCACTTTTCAATCTTGATATATCCCGAACTATATTCAATATCTTGTAATAACCTACTAGAGGAGAGAATCTGTAAAATTATATATATGTAACTGAATCACTTTGCTGTACCCCTGAAACTAACACAACATTGTCAATCAACTGTACTTCAATTTTTTTTTTAAAATCTTGATATATACTGCCAGATGTCCCCCCCACAGAAAAGTAGGCTAATTTATTGTCTCCCCCAAATAACTGTATGAGACCCATTTCCTCACTTCTTCACCAACCTTGGATGTCGTCAGACTTTTTTTTAGCAGCCCTATTTTGCATCATTCCAAATGTGTGTCCACCAAAATTCACATGGGCCCCAGGCAAAGCCAATTCCCTTGGAAGGCTCACAGAGAGAAGCTAAATTGTCATCCTGGCTAGGACTGCCTTTGTTCTAGAAACCCTACTTTGCTGGCTGGAGAACGCCTGGGCACCCTCCCTCGCCATGGTGAGCGAAGGTTGTCTGACCTCTGACTATCTTTGGTGCTGACCTCAGCCAGTTTGTATTTAGGGAGCCAGGCCCCACCAGGGCCTCGCCCTGCTCGGGAGCTACAGCTGGCCCTGTTTCTCTTGCATTTTAACCAGCCAGCCTTTTGGGCTCTCTTCCCTTGAGAGCCTTATCCCTGACGTCAAGAGATGGGAAGGGCATTCCCCAGGCTGCAGCCACTGCTTTCTTACTCCCTTCCCGTATGAGCCCCCGATACATACTTCACCAGCCTACCATTTCTTAATTAAGTATCAACAAGGCATGAGGTATGTGATAAAAGATTAAAATACACTGAAGGATGTAGCACTTCAGATCACATTTTGGAAGCTGTTAACAAGGCATGTTAAATGCTCGCCTTTCAAAGGGGCAAGAGAGCAAAATGTTCTTTCTCCTGTTAGTGGATTTGGGCTCTCTGAGCTCATTAGGCCAAAGGCTATTTTTTTTTTTAATTTTCATTTTTTCATTGATGTATAGTTGATGTAGAATATTATGTTACAGATATACAATATAGTGATTGACAATTTTTAAAGGTTATACTCCATTTATAGTTAATGTAAAATTTTGGCTATAAGCCCCATGTTGTCCAGTATATACTTGTAGCTTATTTTGTACGTTATTTTGTTTGTGTCTCTTAATCCCCACCCCCTCCTCCTTTCCCTCAAGCCATAGTTTGTTCTCTGTATCTGTGAGTCTCCTTTTTTTGTTATGTTCACTAGTTTGTTGTATTTTTTATTTTATTTTTTTCATTGAGGTATAGTTGATTTGCAATGTTTCAGGTGTACAATAAGGTGATTCAGTTATACATTTATATATAAATATATATATATGTATATGCATATTCTTTTTCAAATTCTTTTCCATTATAGGTTAGACCAAGGGTTATTTAAACTCTGCACCTTAGCTTCCCAGTGGAAGGCCCAATTCAGCTTTGCAAGCAGGGCCAATCTCGCCTAACTTGCAAAGTCCAGTCAGAAGGAGGTTGGCATTTAGCCTGTAATCTTAGATTCCTTTTGAGAGCTCCTTATGGGTGAGCCCTGCTTGCCTTTCAGAGATGACCCAGGTCATAGTTGGGTGTTAGCTGGGATTCTTGAAGCTGAAAGGAATAAAAAAATCAGATTTGAAGCAGCTTAAGCAAAGCAAAACAAAGCAACGAATTAATGTACTGGGGCTCAGGCTTCAGGAATGGATAGATCCAGGAGGCTCGGCTGATGACAAGATTTGGTTTCTCTCCATCTCTTGGCTCTGTTAGAATCATGGCAGCCCACAGCTCTAGGCTTGCACAGAGTCCCAGTAGAAAAGAAGAACATTTCTCAGGATGCTTGAACAAAAATCGCAGAGTTCGCTCTGATTGGACCTAATTAGCAAGGCCTACATCACGTGCCCACCTCAAGGCCAGGGGAGGAGGCACTTGTAGCCAATGCTCAGGGACCTAGAATGTGGGAGGTATGTTTACCAGAGGAGAACCACAAATAACCATTACTCAGAGGGATCCCTGGGCCAAGGCATCCCACTGCCGGCCAGTAGAGTCGAGCCTGTTTCTCCAAGGAGAATGTGTTAGGGGCAGATTTCCCCACCACAGCTGGCCAGGTCTCTGCGTTATGAGTAAAACCATGCTGTTTGGTTTTCCTTCTCTTCAAGGAGGTCTCAGCTAGGAATTGAGACTAGTGAGAGTCCATGGACTCTCTGTCCCCAGGTGCCCCTCCTTCTCTACTTCCCAGGAAGGGCATCTCCTGCTCAGCGCGTGCATAGGAGCTGGTGAAGGCTTGGAGGTGCTAGAGATGTGAAAGCAAAGAGGTTTTCCTAAGTCTGTCCTGGAACATGCATTCCCAACCCTGCCTTAGTTTCCTTGGTTCACGTGTGGGCTGAGCTGCCCCTGATGTCAAATTCAAGTTGCCCTAAGTAACTGTGGTGGTTAAAAACATATTATTTGGAGCCAGTAGAGTGTGATGGTGAAGAACACAGATTCTCTGCCTGCACCTGAGCGCTGGTTCTTACCAGCTGTGTGACCTTGAGCAAGTAACCGACTCTCTCCCTGCCCCATATAAAGTGGAAATAATAAAAGTACTGATTATGCTATGAAAATTAAATGAGACCATATATATAAAGCACTTTTCACAGTGCTGGTTCCTGGTTGGCATGCTATGAAGATTAACTATATTATCAAGGTGATTTTGGCCCCTTCCCCTAGTAATTTATAAAAATCCCAAACCCTCTTGCTACTTTTTTAGCCAGAAAAAAAAATGACTTCCTTCAGGGAGGACTTTTAAGTAAGGCTTTCCTTAGCAAAGCAAGATTAGTGCTTTCAGTGAGAACAAAGATAATGAAGATGACACTTCATAATTGAGATGGATTTTTGTGGGGTTTTTTTCCTCCTCCGCTTCCTCTCCATCCACCTCCCCCCCACTTCTGCCCCTTCCCTCCCTGCCCAACTAGAGACAGACTTTTGTTTTGATTTTTTTTTTTTTTCATAATGCTGCTTCTTTCTCTGTAATTTTGAGCAGGAAATACAGGGAGTTCCCACCTGCCCCTCCCCCCAGTTTCCTCTGTTATTAACGACTTGCGTTAGTGTTACATTTGTCTCAGTGGATGAATCAATATTGATATATTATATATTAACTACAGTCCATAATTTACATTTCAGAGGCCAGTCTTTGTACAGTTCTATGGGTTGGAACAAACGTATGATGTCATGTCTCCCCCATTATGGTATCATCCAGAATAGTTCCGTGATCCTAAAAATGCCCTGTGCTCCCCTATCCGCCACCTCCAAACCCCTGGCAATCACTAGTCTTTTCACTGACTATAGTTTTGCCTTTTCTAGAATAGCGTAGTTGGAATCATACAGTATGCAGTTTTTAGACTGACTTCTTTCATTTAGCATCATGCATTTAAGATTCTTCCAGGTCTTTTTGTATCATTTGACTTTCTTCACTCAAAAAAAAGGAAATTGACATACCTAAAACTACACTGCAAATAAGAGACACAATTCCCCACCTTTCAGAGGTAAGAAGTGCCAACATATTTTGCTATCTTTGCTTCACATCTCCCTTTTTTCCCCTCATCTAGAAATCACCCCAGCCGTGGGCCTGGAGCCCCTCTGCCCTCTACCCCATCACTTGCCCATGAACATATCCCACCTCTCCTGCTACTCTACGTCCAGGTTCTCAGGGTTGCCCACCTCAGTGTGTATCCAGAAACCGTGTTGGATGGTGTGATGCTGAACTTGACGTGAAGGGCATTCAGTAGTGAGAAGGTCTTTGGTCACAGGAGATCCTCTGAGGGAGGCAGGCGCTTCCCTGCAAGGGCTGGGGTGGGGGGGCAAGAGGCTCCCCCCAGGGTCCCCTGCCCAAGAGCCGCCTGAGCCCTGGATACTGCAGGCTCCCCAACCCCACGGAGACGGATCAGGCTCCAAGAGCCAGAGAACAAAGCGCCTTTGTGACTTTTGTTTTGAATCTGGCTTGTGACAAAGGGGAGGGGCGGGGGCCTGGAGCATGGTGTTGATACAGGGGAAGAAAACAAAATTGTGTCTTTTTTTTTTTCCGGTGGTGTCGTGTGGCCTTTCCCTCCCTCCCTCCCTCAGCTCTTCGAACAGCAGGATTTCGTAATGGCAGCTTGGGAAACAGACCCAGCGCTCCGTTCAGAAGCAACGTGTATCAGCCAACTGAGATGGCCGTTGTGCTCAACGGGGGGACTGTAAGTATCAGGAGGTGATGCTTTGGCAGGAAGCCGAGGAGTGGTCCGTGTTGGGGGGCAGCTTCGACGGGGACACCCTGCTCTGTGGAGTCTGCAAGGACAGCGGCTCAAGGGGGCACCCGTTCATGCATGCAATGCTTCCTTTTCTCTTTCTTCTTCTCTGCCCCCTTTCTCCATGCATGGAACCTCCACTTATACTTAGTTGACCATCTGTAGATTCGTTTGAAAGAGTCCCTGTTTCTAGAGGCTCTCAGCCAGAGAATTCTCTGGTTTCCATTATACAGAAGGTGCCCCCATCCTCCCTCTGCCTGAGAGGTGACTCTTAGGAAAAGCCCAGAGTTATGAAACCCTGACAGATTTTGCTGACATCCAACCTAGCTGAGTCCCCGCCCCTGCTCCCCCCACCCCCATCTGTACTCCAGCCGGGTCCCAGGTTCCCTTCCTTAAAAGATTTCTTAAGAAATTGAAGTGATTATCATTTTTCTGTGGCAAACACCAAACAGGTTTACTGTATGATGCCAAACAGACCTTCAGCAGAATTGTCATCATTTGCATTTTGCCTCCGTGGAATTACATCATTTTGTTTCTCCAGCAGTCCAAAGATGCACTGTCATTCCCACATTGAATTTCCAAACATAGCTCCATGCTTCTTTCAGAAACAACACGTGAGCCAGTTTACACTGTGTAAATTGGATTTCCATTCTTTCTATCATGTGCCAATTCCATAACTCAACCTGAGCTTTTTTTTTTTCTTAATGTCAGGGATGGTCTTTGATCTCTAGAGGGAACTTGGGTTTTCCTGGCCTTTGGATGGTATGCGAAGCGTTGGTTTGCACTGGTTTGGAAGGGGCTCAAAAGCAAGTAGACACAGATTGCATTTGTGAAGACCCCCAGCCATCGATTGGCCTGTTTATTTTGGGGGGCCAAGAAAATCCTGAGTTGCAAGCATTTGGCCTGTGTTATAATACATACAGTTAGAAGACAGCCCTTTGGTCACTCGTAAGCCCTATCTGGTCCTGTCGAGGCCAGTGTGCATAAAAACATCCTGGACTTAGAAAGCGAGGTGGGGTTCTGGGTGAGGAAACATTTGTTCAGGATGCATGATTACACAGAAGGGGACAGGGCCTTCCCAAGAACGGAGCATCGTAACACACAGTGGTTCCTGCTTTACTGGGGAATTATTCAGCCCGTCAGGAAAAGGCAAGGTAACTTATCTTCGGTACGTTGTTAACGAGTTGGTTTCTGACATTGACTTTGCAAAGCCCAGAGTTCTTAGTGTGTTATTCCTGTTTCCAGATCCCAACTGCTCCGCCAAGTTACACTGGAAGACACCTCTGGTGAAAGACTTTTAAGTTCCAGAGAATAAGAATCTCTTACCGATTTTATTCCCTGGCCGTGTCTTTCTTGAGGGAGAAATCAGTAACAGTAGCTGAAAGAGGCCGCCTCGCAGCCGGGAGATTTGGAAATCCTAGACAAGAGGGTTCCGTGTAAATGTGAACACTGCTGAACTGAAATGCTAACACCGACTGCCCTCCCTCCCCTGCCACACACGTGCACACACACACACACACACACACACACACACACACACACACACACATAATACCAAACCAACCTCAAACCCTGTAAACTAAAGCAAAGCTAATTGCAAATAGGATTAGGCTCACTCGAAAATGTGGCTGGGAAGACTGTTTCATCCTCTGGGGGCAGAAAAGAACCAAGTTCACAGCCAGTGGGACAGGCTGGTGTGGGCTGAACATGGAACGCCCCTACGCCGTCGTCCCTCCCCGGCAAGTGCTGGACCCCTCTTGGGGTGGCCTCTTGGGGGTAACCGTTTCCCTGAAGAGGACGAATGGGGGCTTTTCCACCAGCCTGCCTGTTGGTTTTCACATTTCAGGGGGGTCAGGCGCAGTTGAGGAGATTGCGGGTGTGGTTCCAAGACTGAGGACCAGCTGAACTGAGGAGAGAGCTTTACAGGCAGGAGTGGTGGAGGGAGCCTGGCGTGTGCCAAAGAAAAGGCTGTCTGGGAGTTAAAGGGACCATCACACTTAGAGAGTGGTGCCTGGCCGCTGTTCCTTCTTGGGCCCCCTGCTCCGGCGCCAGTGGCAGGAAGCAAGCCCGCCTCCCTCCCTGGTGCAGCCCTTGCCGTTGCTGGCTGGGGCAGCCGTATCTCCCCCGCTCACCTCCGCCTATTCCAGCCCTCATCAGTGTTCCTCCAAGTCCTTCCCCGGTTCTGTTCCCACCTTCGTTTCAAAAGCTCAGACGAGGCCACCAGCTCAAGGCGCCCTGGTGTGGCCAGGAGGCAGAGGCCACAGCCAACTTTCCACGATGCTGTCACGTGGCGGGGCATCCCAGGGGTGCCCCGGCTGGAGAGGTGACACCTGCTGCCTGGCATGCAGTGAGTTTTTGGGTCTTCTATGCAGATGTAGTGAAAGGTCCAGGGTGGGCCGAGCACGTGAGGGTTTTCTTGCTGCTTTTGGAGGGTGCGTGGGACAGTTTTGTCTTGGTTTCCTACAAGGCCCATGAAAATGGTTCTCTTCAAAGCTCATTGTTTCTGTCATGGTTTCCATCTGTCCTAAGTAAGTCATTCCTTTATTTGGCATTTCGAACATCTCGGCCATTCAAAGCCCCATGGTCTCTGCACTGTTTGGCCAGCATAATCGCTAGTCACGATTCAAAGCAAAGAGTTTTAACCTGACGGCATGGAATGTATACACGAGGGTGGGCGTTTTGAATATACTCTAATCACTGTATCGCTTTTTTCTATAAAACAACCCATAAGCCTTTAACCTTTAAAGGAAATGAAAAAGGTTAGTGTTTGGGGGGAACTGACCTCTTCGTAAGCCAACATGTTTCAGCTGAGTATGTTTTAATAAACCTTCTGATTTTTCTCGAGGCCCTAGTCTGCTGTGTCCCGTCCTCGCCCTCCCCCGCCCTCCAGTCCTTGCAGGGCACCTGGGGAATGAGGCCAATCTGGCCTTCCCTGTGTGGCCCTCCGTCAAGTCAGGCATTTCCGTGTGTCACCAGAAGGCCGCCCCTACCCGAGCTTCGGGAAGCGCCCGCCGCCCAGAGCATGTGCTTGCTTCTTTCTAGAGGGTCAGATTCCAGTCCTCTGTGCCAGCAGCACCCCTGGGGGGACCGCACACCGGGGGGGGAGGAGCGAGGGGTGGGGTGAGGGGAGAGAGAAGCCAGGACCTGGGGTGGGGTGGGGTGGGGTGGGGTAGGGGTGGGGGCGGATGCATGCAGACCCAGACTTCTGAAAATGACAGAAATCTCCAAACACCTCGGTCCAGCCCGGTGAGAAACGGCCGCGTTACACATTCTCGTGCCAGGAAGTGGCCGCTTGCCCCCGCTCCCTGGAGTCCTTCGGAGCTCTCTGATCCCAGCAGTGACTCGGGCTGCAGGAGCGCCCCCTTGCAGAGGGGAGAACTCACATGACCGTTTTTCTCTCAAAGTTCTTGGTGGTCCGAGCGCATCAGGTGAGCAGGACACACATGGCTGCAAGTGGAAAGTCACGTTTCACTACTATAAACGTGGAGCCAGCTCTGAGCCACGGGAAATCTCACTTAATGATACCTTTTTTTTCCCCCTTCTCTTTTTAAATCTCTGATAGTTTTTGCGCTTCTGGTTTTTATTTTATTTTGGCTTTAAGGTCAAGAGTGGGCTGAATGCTCTCCCAGTGCGGGTGGAGGCGGGGAGTGAGGGAGGAGGCAGAGAACTGTTATTTCTCTAATGACTTCACCTGAAGGGTACAAAGAGACACCTTTGCCAAGAGACTGTGGCAGCCAGCTGCCCCCGTGGAGCAAAGTTTAAATACAAAACTAAGTGGCACCTCTGTTTAAGATCGGTTTATGTGAATGAGACGTTGGGGGCAAATGACCTGGAAGGAGAGTGTCTGTGATCTAAACACCTAATTGTCAGCATGAGTCCTTCCGGGTCCGGTTTTCAAAATCACCTTGGGACTATAACAGCCACTCTTGTCCCCCCTTTAATGGAAAACGGTCACCGTGTCCGGGCTTTCTGCCCTGGAGATGGAGGGGAGGGAGTGAGGGAATCAGCTCCGGGAACTGACAACCTGGGAAGTTCCACGTGTCTCAAGGGGCGCAGACCTGGCTGTTGAAGGCGGGGGTCTATTCTTCTAGCACAGACTCCGTCAGGGCCCGCTGAACATGGGCCGTGTGTGGTGACCTTCCTGGCGAGGCAAGGCTGAGCTGAACCCCAAACTGAAAGGGAGCATTGTGGCTTTTATAATCGAATGACGCAATGATTATACCAGCTTACAGGAGTTCTCAGCAGGTGCTTTTTATTAATTGATAAAGAGCTAAGGCTCGTTTTTGATAGATAATATATATTTATTAAATGTATTAATGTGTGTTTTCTAATGTACCTTTATCCTCGCCTCGCTGACTGTTGCATACTTATTAAAAAAAAACCGTTAAAAGACATTTCGAGACAATCAATGTGTACCATAAATGACTGTACATAAATATTACAAATTTAAAATGTTGTAAAGCATGGGCGGATAGGTTTTATTTTCAAAATGCTGTTCTTAACACAAAAATAAAGGCTTTACTATTTACTTAAGACGTGTGGTAGCTTGTCTAAACAACCCAGTGCAACTGCTTGGCTCTCAGATCTGCCCAGAGGCTGTAGCATGTTGAACAGGGAAGTCCTGGTTAGCGGCAAACTGCAGAACAATGGAGGGTAATAAGTCATAAAATGAGGAGGTTTCTATTCTGCTTCGGGGCCTAGACAGCAAAAATTCTTTGTCATTGTCTGGGTTTAAGTGTCTTGTTGGGTTTGCAGTCAAAGTTAAGGGTCAGTCTCCTCGGGAAATGATCACAGGCAGTAATGTCTTTTTATGAAAAGACTACTCACCAGATGAATTTAAAACCCACTGCAGCGGTTTGGGTCTTTGCAAAGGCGGCCAGAAGTGGGAAATTGGTAAGTAGAACACGGTAGCATCTCTCGGACTAGACAGAGTTCATTGTACATTTTAGCGGTGGTTGGTATAGAAGAGTACTGAAGCACTGAACAAACATGTGGATGAAAGAATAAAACTGGGGGATAATACAGGAAGTTAAAACTAGTACTTTCTTAGGATAAACTGTTTGTCCCTAAAGCACGTTTGCAACAAATCCTATCTTGTGCGGGAAAGATTCTGTATTCTAATGCACCAAATCTAGTCGTTAAAGAAATCACAGTACAGAAAGCATAATGTGAACATTTCCTCTAGCGGGGGGTGGAGCACTGAGGGGAAAATATACCGACAGCTGTTAAGTTTGTGGAATCTTTGCTGCAGCCTCTTCCTCATCCTCCATTTTGCACTTCACTGCAAAGAAATGAAAGAGAAAGGATCGATTTACATGCCTAGACAGACTTGGCATCTGGAAACTGCAAGCTCTGATACCCTGGAAGTCAGTTGCTTCAAAACCCGCTGAGAGCCTGGGATGGCTCTGGCCCCACGGATCCCCCGGGGAAGAACACAGGGCCATTGTGTTCCGAGGGCAGCACCTGAAGTTTCAAAACCACTTCACGTCATGTTCACGGCCATTCTTAACTCAGTTCAGAAGAAGGTCAAAGTGTGCTTTGCAGGTCGGGGGAACTGAAGGAAGTTTTACTAAAGATGATGACAGATTGGAGGCTCTCAACTCAATCCGATCTGTCACTACTCCCCCTGTCCCCCACCCAACACACACACACACACCTGAAATTAAAAACTCAGGACAACACGGGTCAATATGAGGCCAGAAGAGAACATTTTCTAGCCTTTCGTGGTCTGGGCAGGAGTGTGATCCGGCTGATTTCCTGAGTCGGCCAAAGAGGGCAGCTGGCTGAACACAGAGCCCGGCACTATTTGTGGGGGAAATTGTCCGACCAGATAAAAGCCCGTCCTCCCAAATATATGGAAACCCAATCTTCCCCGGGTCGGGGGAGGGCCCACTTGGAAAGACCCCCTCTTTTAGTAACTCTTTGCTTCTAGTGTCTTTGCCCCGATGTTAGTGCCTGAAGGGTGATTCAGAGCAAGGCCGCAGACTCCGGGTATCTGTGAAGAGCAGTGATGGAGCAGAAAGGGTGGGGGTTGCTACCACGTGGAGCAGAGCTTCCAATCAGCCTGATGACCTCCCAGGGAGGGACTGAGGGCACGCGCTGGCCAGGGAGCCCATCACCTGCAGGGCAGTGGGCTGAGGGCCTTCAGCAGTCTTTAGACAGCAGCTCCACAAAGACTTTCCAAGGATTCTTGTTCACAGTTTATTTAAAGACAGTCAGTCTCCAAGTCTTGGCTTCCTTGCGTGGATTTGCGGTTGTGGGGGTTCGCTCTCCTCCCTCTCTCCCCATCCTAACGTTGCCCAGGGTGAAAAAAAAAAAATCTAGGCCCCAAACTAGGATGCCATGTGAAATGTTGGCATTCCTGAGTCTTCTATGTTTAATAACTTATCAAATTTTATCATGTATTTAATTGGCTTTGCAAACTACTAATAATAGTATTAGTAACTCAAACCAAAAACAAAATGTTTTTAACGCTTGGAGCCTCTGGTCATGGGAAAATTTTAAAGATTTTTTTCAACATATATACGTTTTTGTTCCACATATATGGAAGCTGTATCGGTAACCACAATGAAGACCCTAGATTCACCTAGACCTGCGGGTGCTGACGATGAATGAGCCGAGGATGCCCCACGCCTGGGAGGTGATCTCCCAGTATCCCGCGGGTCCATGATGTGATCCAGGATGTGAATGTTTAGCAACAGACGAGGGTGGCAGAGTTCTGATTTGCAACATTTGCCAATTTCCACAGCGTGATGACATACCAGCCTGATGACATAATAACAGAGGTAGAAAGGGGCACCCACAGCCAGATGGAGCAGCTCAGCACCTGGCTGCTCTGGATCCCCACAGGGAGGTGTGCAGGGAAACCTCAGGTACAAAATGCTTCTCCACGTGTGGTTGAGGGACCAGCAATGTTTGCATCAGTGGAAACCTGTTAAAAATGCAGATCCAGGCTCCCACCCCAGACCTGCAGAATCAAAACCGGGGGTGGAGCCCAGCCATCCCTGGTTTTAACAAGCCCTCCAAGTGATCCTGATGGACACTAAATAAAGCTTGAGACTCACCCACTACTGGTTTTCTACCCTGGCTGCATTTAAGAACCACCTGGGTAGCTTCTGAAGTCTCACTGCAGACATTCTGATGTAATTGGTCTGGGGCCCGGGCATCAGTATTTATTCAAGCTCCTGCGTGTTGCTAAGGTTCAGACAGGGCTGAGAAACCCAAACCTTGGCGGGAGTCTCTTAAGGAAACATGAACACAGAGACCCCCAGAGCAGTTCGCAGGAGTCTCGGTGTTTCAAAATTTAAGCCATTTGAATGACATTCTTTCTGGCCCCACAACTGGCAGACAGACGCCCAAGGCTACTGGTAGTGTGGAAGGAGGAATTGGCAGATGGGAGGAATTCCCAGTCCTTGGGTTTTTAGTTCCTCAACCCTGCCTGAAGGAAAGATTCGCCTGCATGCCTTTCTTTTGTCCTAGTCTTTTAACCAATCCTGCAGTGCCTGAGACCCTCTTACCCACCCCTCCATTTTGACCTTGCCTGGGATAAAGCCCTCATCTCTTTCAGATCATTACACAAAAATCTTGAGGGAGGAGAGTGGAAAGGGATGCTAGGAACATTCTTTCAACCTGGAGAGACAAGACACTAACTAGAGTTGGTGGACTGGAAAAAAAGGTGATGCGAAACTCAGGATGGAATCACCTGGGACTTGGGCACTCCCAGTGTCCTGCCCCATCCTAGCCAATCAAGTCAGAGTCTCTGGAGGTGGGGACTGTCCGTTGGTGCAGCCACGGTGGAAAACGCATTGTCAAGTGAAACTGCATGTGCATGTTCCCCACAGTGCAGCATCCCACTCCTGTATCCATCCCCTGGACACGTGTACCAGCAGACAGAAGTAGGATGTTCGTGATAGCAGAAAGCTGGGAATAACCCAGATGTCCATCAACAGCTGACTGCATAAATAAGTCGTGGTTCACTTGAACAGCGGGTAACAGGAGCGAACCCAAGCAAACCACAGCTACACCTGTCAGCTCAGATCAGCTTACAGTATTGAAGGAAAAGGTGCGAGGCACAGAATAATACACATTGTTTGATCCTATTTATAGCAAATCTAAATGTTGATGCGTGCACATAAAGACAAAAAGAACTCTAAAGGAAAGCAAGAGAACAAATATCACCAAAGTTAGGCTTCGTGGAGGCTGGGGGAGCCTTACACTGTGAGCCACTTCCTTTACTGGAATGGCGGTTTGCTTTATAGTCGTATGTGTTTTCTGGTCACTATTGTATGTATATTTCACCCCCACTCCCACAAAACAATAAGGTAAGAAGAAATAAAGATGGTAGTATATTACTTGAAATTACAAAGTCAACTACTGAACAGAAACGAGCAATTTAACTCTTTTGGGAGGGCGGGGATGGGATGTAGGTGAACTAATCTGCATCTGTCACAACAGGAAATCAGGAGACGATGTCTAAAATCTCACCTGTCCGTTAGAGAGGCAGAAGTAACCACCGGGAGAAACAGCTAAGAGCCCAACGTGGTCTCCGTGGAGGAGGGGACAGAGATGGTGCTCATTCTGCCCTCCAGTTCCAGCCTGTGTAGCCGTAACCATGGGAACCACGTGCAAGGAGTACTCTGCTAAAAATCAGATAAAGCCTCTCCTCGGTGGTGCTCCTCCTCCTGGTCTTGGCAGAACAGAGCCTTGCACAGGTAGGTTACTCAGTAAAAGGAGGGAGCGAGGGAGGAGGCAGCAGGAGGAGCCGGCAGCGATGACTGAATGAAAGACCCCAGTTTCCACCTTAGTTTAGAGACGTCGTGGTCGGCTTCCAGCATCAACAGACGGCTGCCTCTGTGCCCCTGTGCTGTCCTTGTCCCCCTTGGCAGGCTGGTGCGCAGCCAGTTCCGGAAAGGCCTGAGAGAGTGGAAAATCCCGGAGAGATGCGCCAGCCCTTCAGCTTCAATTAAAGGCAGAGTGACAACGAAGGCCCTGCATACTAATGAGACCCGCTTTCGCTCTCCTCCTCTTGAGGAGATGCCCTCCTGCTCCAGTGGGTAGAGGGGCTGAGGACCCCGGACATCATTACAGAAGCCGCCTAAGGCTCAGGATGTAGGGAGGAAATGCAGGGACCACAGGGTAATTTAGCTATTCATGCGGTGTTGCCCAGATGTGGCCGCGGCACAAAGGATCACCCGGGGCAAAAATACAGATTCCCGGGCCCCACCCCAGACCTTGAGAAACAGAATCTTGAGGAGTGAGGCCACGGAATCAACATCCCCCACCTCTGTGTTTCAGGTGCCCCTTCTGATGTGACAAGTTTGGGAAGGTATGCTGCCTCACTGCATCAGTCCACCGTGGCTCAGTGCCTGTTTCCCGAGGGCCCACGTGTGACAAGGGCCCTGCCTCCTCCGGGCCTGGGAGGGACACACGAGACCAGGCCTGCAAGGGGCTCAGCCCTGAGTCTGATCCAGAGGAGAGTGCACCACCTCCTAGCTAACCGCACTGCTCTTAGGACGTGGTCTTTGACCCCAAGGCGCTCACAGTCCAGAGGGGGAGGCAGAAAAATGAACAGGGAATAAGAAGAACCAAGAGATGCTCCCACACTGAAGAAAGAAGCTGCTTCAATAAATGTTCATCCACCACACAGAGATGGGTCCTGAGGTTCCAGAGAGGAAACTGGTTCACACTCTCAAGTCAGCAATATATAATACGTATAGCCTTAAAATATTATTTTTTAAATCCAGTTAGCACCTAGTTTTTTGGCTTCCAGAAGAATAATAAGACAAAGACTTCTATGAGCCCCTCACACACATGAAGTGGCAGTGAGGTAAGTGCAGTAGTTTTCCCGGCTGGTACGCATGAGGAGTCTAAGGCACCCGGGTTACGTAATGGGCCTGGGGTCACGCTGTAGGCTGTCTGGCTTCTGCATTCATGCCCTTAACCTCTATAGGGTCTCTCTCCCCCAGGGAGATGCAGGTTTCTTTGATAAAGATGCAACAAAAGATGGTGCTTTTGCTGCTCTCGCATTATTTCCCACACAAACAGTTTGGGAACAACCAAGATGCCCAACAATTGGGGAAGGATTAGGTACTTGATCATTTATAAACTTGATAAAGGATAATGAAGCCATTGCAAAGTTTGAAGGAACAGAGAGAAATGTCAAGGGCGAAATACAGTGGAAATGACAAAATTCCTGTAAATTTTGATGATGCAAATTTGCAATTGCTCCACACCACAAGTTAGCAAGGGGGACACTGTGACTTCTGTCTGGGGGAGTCAGAA